TCCTGCTGACATAACCAAGGTCTTTACACTGCCAAGCTGCCCTGTACAATCAGAACTCTGAGTCATAGGGGCTGTTGGTTCAAAGGAGCTTGCCCAGTCAGTACCCAAAATACATATTTCATATTTAATTCAAACTGTTCCATACTCATTTAATAGATTAAACGGTACTAGAAAGTCATTGTGCTGTAGATTACTGATTTCCTGCAGAAGTAGATGGCTTAATCAATATTTCTCTCTGGATTTCTGTCATTCTGCCATGTTTGACTTGCTGAACCTTTCAGTACCTTGAGGTTGTTCTCCCAAAACTGAGTTCAGTCGCCCTCTGGTTTGAGGGAAAAGACTGGGCACATACTCACTTGCCAGAGCGAAATTTGCAAGGAAGTGCTAGTAGCTCAGTGCATGTCATGCAGCCTTGCAGAATTCATCGTGAATTTTCCCTGAAAGGGGAAAGAAGACTTGACCTCAGCTACAGATATGCTTTTATTTTACAAACATAACTGTATACCAATACTATTTTTTCTTTTTTTTTGTTTATTTTGAGTACATTTTTGATTACCTGAAGTTCCTAGAGCCTGTGACAGTGCATTTACAATCTGACAGCTATTTAAGATAGTATGTAAGAAAAAAAGTCAGTAAAAGGGATGTTTTCAGTAGTTAATCTGGTTTTACTAATTCTGCACCTGAAGGTAGATAACACGGATGCAGAAGGAAGACTGCTGTTAGCTGATGCTCTCTGTTACGCCCACAATTTTAATGCAAGGGCGATTGTGAATGCTGCAACATTAACAGGTAAGCAATCTCCCTTCCATGCTCCTTTTGCAAGGCAGTTCTTTGTTACTGTTATTAATTGGGCTGTGGATTAGTTGCACTATGTATATAAAGCCAACCTGAATTCAAAAGCAATTGAGATGACTTTACATATTGTAGGACAACAGCTAGCACAGTTTATGCTCAAAGAACTTGTATAGTGACACTGTGTCTGTAGGACTGGGGAGGGTATTGGCACGCAGGGTTCACGCTGAGCAATGTAGATGAAGTTAGGCTGGCCCAGTTGAGCTGGAACTAAGAAGAGCAGGGAAAAACCTACAAAGACTTTGGTATTCCTGCACAGTGTTTCCCAGTGCTTCCATTTCTGAGCTAAGCCCTCCCAGCTCCTGGGGCTGTGTGATACAGAGGTACTGGCGTGGGTGTGGAAGAATCCTGCCAGGTCCATATGGCACTGACCATGCTGGAGCCAAAATGGCTTCTTTGTGAACGGTTTCCTGAGTGCCTGAGCTCTGACCTAGCCAGCACCAGTTCTTCCATTATGTGAGGTAGCTCAGGTCTCCATGATTCTAGACAGTAGGAGAGCCAAGAACGCGTTTGACTGAAGTACCTCTTGTTTTATGTGCAGTTTGCATACTTTCAGGCATAATAAAATGTGCTTTAACTGTTTAATCTCTACAGTTGTATATGAATGAGGCTGTAATTTTAAATTTAAAACCAGCCTTGTGTATGCATCTCATGAACTGCAGTAACAAGCTGTCATGGGTGAAGTGACTGCAGCTGAAATGAGAGCAAACATGGAAGGGTAGTTCAGACAGGAGTCCACTGTGGTGTTTAATGAATATGCTAAGCAAAATAACTATCTTCCTATACGTTCTCTACTAGTGCTTTACATTATGTTCCATCAGTTTTACCAGTTCAAATGCTGCGGAAAATTTCCAAAGACAGAAGGGAAGCTGATTTTAAGATTTTTGGCTTGTTTGAAAGTATTCCCATATAAAGGGCATGATAGAAGGAGGAGCTTACTCCCACTGTAGATTTTTCTGTGTTTGGCATCCTTGGGCACCAAGCAGGAAGGAGGAGAGCTCCTGTAGAAATTTCTTTGACATATCATGTTGTTAAACTACTTTTTTTTCTTTAATCTCACTGAGGACTGAGTGTTAGCATTAGAGCTGCAGTTCTGTGGCATCAAATAAATAAATAAATATGTATGTAATCCCTCTGGTTTAGGTGTGGTTTAGTGTTTTGATAAGGATTATTTTCATTTAAAGTAAATTCACATATGCTGTGCAAAAATCCATGCAAGTGAAATTCTCAAAAGGGAAGGTATCACCTGGAATACTGTAGAGGTCTATAAGTGAGTGGACTTTTTCCAATTTATACATTCTATATAGAAACAATAAAATTTAGATTTTTTTGTTTTTGAGAAGACACTGCTGGATACAGTAGGTTAGACATGCTGCTAAGAAACATCAAGCTGAAAACAGAAAATCTAGTTTCATGAGACACAGAGTATAATTTTTATGAATTCTTGTCCTATTATATAAATGTTTCAACAACGTGTAAACTTTAAAAAATGCGAATGTACTAAAATCTCTAGTTTTTGCAGACTGTAAAAATTGCTGATAGTGGGTATTAAAAATTGAAAGTTCTGTGGGGAGTCAGGATGCAGAGGAATAGCTCAGGTCCATTTGCCTTTGTTGTATAACCTTGCAGGTGTGTTTCTGTAGGTGCCATGGATGTGGCGTTGGGGTCTGCTGCGACTGGAGTGTTCACAAACTCATCTTGGCTTTGGACTCACCTTTATGAGGTAGGCCATCTGCACTGCTATTAAACGATACTAATAATTCAGTAATAGCTGTTGTTATTGAAACATTAGTGCATTTACTGAAATTATTACTTTATGCAAATCTAAAAGGTATGTTACTACATTTTGAAATCTCATAGGAATGGTGTTAGTACGATATTTAACTGAAAATAATTAATTTTGACTATTAATTACTAGCTCTTTAGTGAGGTTTAATATCATACAGCAAACAGCATGCATATCATCTCAAGGATGTGAGATAACTTACAGCATCTTCTGATAATTTACTGCATATGCATAAGCCCTGGACTACTGACAGTAATTAGTTCATATTAGAAAGATAATTGATCTTGCTTAACAGCCCTGAGACAGAAATTCAGAAGCCTTGTGAATGGCTGAAGTGCGATGGCTAAAGGAAGTCTCTGAAGGGAAGGATTTGTGTTGACGGGGAAAAAAAAAATAAAGAAAAAAAAAGCGTGCAATTTTTAGATTTTGCTTTTTGACTTAATGCTAAAGTACATAAAAAAGTAGGCTTCACTGTTTTGTTTTGCAATGTATTTTCAAATAGCAAACATTATATTGGGCTGAAGATTTTTAGACTGATCAAAGCTAAACAAAAATAAGCATGCACAATACTGGGGCTTATAAATGCAGTTTGTTGTTTGTTTGTTTGTTTGGTTTTTAATTGCCAAAGCTGTCACTGTTTCTTTTTCAGGCCAGCATTTTGACAGGAGACAGAGTTTGGAGAATGCCTCTTTTTGAACATTACACAAAACAAGTAACAGACTGTGCTCTTGCAGATCTGAGTAACATTGGAAAGTACAGCAGGTAAGATGTACCAATATCCTTCATGTGCCCCTTTCTGTCAGTGTATTTGTTTAAAGTTTGTGCTGTTGGTGTTGCTTTAGAAACAATACAATTTCTCTGCTTCCCACAGAGCTGGTGGAGCATGCACAGCTGCTGCATTCCTGAAGGAATTTGTGACTGTCTCTCACTGGGCTCATTTAGATATAGCTGGTGTGATGTCGAATAAAGATGAGGTGCCCTATCTTCGAAAAGGCATGGCAGGGCGGCCTACAAGAACGCTAGTAGAGTTTGCGGCTCGATTAAGTCAAGACAGTCACAATACCAAATAAAATACTTATTCTACAAGCATCCATTTGACCTTAAAGATTTTTTTCTTAAACGTGCTTTTCATAAATCAATGCCTCAAGTATGTTTGCACTATGGCAATGAACAATATATGCATTTTATAAATCATTACTTGGGTAAGAATATTTCATCTTTGAGATTTGTCATCCCATATTATGCAGTTTAAAATAAGAAATATTGTGTTTGAACTATTTGAGATATTTAGTACTAGACCATGATCATGGAAAATTCTTTTCTATGTAAAGTAAGCACAATTACTGCAAACAATAAATCTCTTATTTGGGTGTGTGTTTTGATTGAGAGAGAATTAACAACAGTAGAGATCATAACTGAATTGTAGATGGTGAGAAAGGTAACTGCAAAGTTTTTCATAAATATGCTGTTCTAACAGTTTCCCTTGAAAAAACTGAACCTGCTGCGGGTGTGTACTGAGGTAGAAGTGATGCCCCATCAGTATGTTTAGGCTGTTGCCATGGGTGTGATTAACATGGCTTCAGCACTGAATTATATAGTGAGAATTAAACAAGAGCCACCAGCAGTGTATCTTGTAACTGGTTTACATAATCTAAAGGATGAAAGTTAAGTGTTTGGTGGGCTCTGCTGGGGCCAAACCTGCCCACATCTCCCATGATTCCTGTCCTCCTGCTGTTCCCCTGCCTTTAGTGCTGTGCTGCTGTCAGGGTCTGAGCAGGGGCAGGATTCCTAGAAGGAGTTCAAACGTCGGACTTAACACACTTACAGCATGGGCTAAGGTTTTTTTCTCGAGAATTCGGGGGAACCAGGCCCCGAGGGTGATTTTGTTTTGCGGTGTGTTAAAAGCTGGTGTGTAACAAGGGCTGCTGAACTGGTGCTTACGCAGGCAGGAGGCGCGGCAGGGCACAGGCTGGAGCGGACGGGGCCCGCCGGGAAGGGTGGCTTCGCTGTCTGCTGCGCCCCGTTACCGTTCAGCACGGCGGGGGCCGGTACCCAGCAGCGGCCTGAGGC